CTTAGAAAGTTCTCCATATCCCAACCTTAAATTTTATAGTTTTCATTGTCAAAAACTTGGCATTCATCTGGGAAAATCTCTTCACAGTCAATTACCCAGCTTGGCTCAGTTACACACAAACATCCAAGATGACAGACAGCAGAACACAGGCATGTTAAGAACCTAGAAGAGCCCAGTTTTCAATGTTCCTTCACAACAATTAAAGATAGAGAACTCATTAGCTCAGAGAACAGGACATTCAGCAAATCTATACATTACTTCTTAGTAATTCTATACATTCTTGGCTCTAAAAAAACATTTCAAAATCCAAATATATGTATTGTTTATTTATGGTTTTAGAGACAGGGTTTCTCTTTGTAATAGTTCTATCTGTCCTGGAGCTTGCTTTGTAGACCAGGCTGGCCTCAAACTCACAAATATCTTCCTGCATCTGCCTACCCCTGCTTCCCAAGTTCTGGGATTAAAGGCATTTGCCACCATGCCTGGCTTCAAAACCCAATTTTTACATAAAAAGTGAAACTATATCAGAATCTTAAATTCCTAGCCATATATAAATAGATACCAAAATATAGTGAGTAGTTTAGTTCATTAGCAAATTTTAAAAAAACTCTCTAAAAATATCTCTCAAAATACCACATAACATAGAAAATGTAATATCCAGTAAAAATATTAACTGACATAAGTATATATCAAAATAGGAGATACTAAAGACTTTTGGGTTGTGAGGAGCTTATATTAGAAAAGTCTAGGGGCTGAAGGAATGGCTTGGTGATTACAAACACAAATAGTTATTGCAGAGGATCTCACTGGTTCCCAACATTCACACTGAGTTGCTCATGGCCACCTGCAATTGTAGCTCCAGGGGATCCAATACCTTCCTCTAGCTATTACAGGAGCCTGCACTCATGTGTATGGACCTACCGCCCCACCCCTGTCCCTCCCAGCAATTCACACATACATACATGCATGCACACACACACACAATTTTAAAGATGAAAAAAAAGGAGCCTGGAGAGACAGCTCAGCAATTAAGAGCAGTGGCAGCTCTTCTAGAGGACCCAGGTTTAATTGTCAGCACTCACATGACAGGTAGCACCCTTTTGTAACTCTAGTTCCAGGGGATCTGTGCCTTCTTCTAGCCTCCATTGTCACCAGGCACGGATATGTTGCCTAGACATACATGCAGGAATTCACTGAAACTGAACTCACCATTTATGAAAATAAGACTAAAGGTTGTTGGTTTGTGGTTGATTTGGTTTTGGTTTTAACAGGATCTCACTGTATATTTCTGCCTAACCTGGAGCTCACTCTGTAGACCAGGGTGGCCTTGAACTCATGGAAATCTGCCTGCTTTGGCCTCCAGAGGACTAGGATCAAAGACATGCACTGCCATGACTGGAAGAATAACCCTGATTTCACAAAGTGTGTATTAGTCTCGGAATTGCTGAGTGGTGTTCTCCCTTTTGTGTTTACTAGCACAATTTTAAACTGTGAAGAAATAGCTACTAATGTTACAGAGTCCACGGAAGACCTTTGTGAAAGGCAACCCTGGCCAACCACAGGGACTGGTCATGTTTTACTAGGAAAACAGCCAGTTCTGGGGAATTTACATCATTACTCCATAGGGTGGTTAGAGAGACACTGACCAAATGAAGTATTCAGCTTTAAATTTTGCCAACAAAATCATCTATATCAAATCCTTAGTCACAAATCTTCATTTCACAAAGTGTAGTTCCTACCAATACTGGCCCTGACTTTTAGTATAACAAGCTACACTGCAAAGTGGGGGCTTCTGATAAAACAGAAACATATATTTGTTCTCCAAAATCATCTACCATATTCCAAAGTTAAAAACAATTCTGATATTTGTATCTATCTTCCTCCACCAAAGTTACATTGATTTAGTAGTTTTATCAGAATAAATTAAACTGAAACCCTTTATAAAAACTATGAAATTATATGGAATGAACAAACAGATGATGTCTATTTGAGTATTTCTTACCACATATAGTAATAACTCATCTGGGCTGTACTACACTCCTTATGTTGCCTTTAATGGGAACCTTATTATGACTATAATTGTCTTTTTAATTGTGTATTATTATTAATAATAAGAGAATCAAAAAATCTGTAATGATGCTGGTATACATTAAAGTAGAAAATTATATTTGGTATTACTTAACCAAATGCTCTACATTATAACATGTAATTTTTTAGTGAGCACGATCATTTTGCTTCTTGTCCCAACATGTTCCTAAGGAATCACTAACAACCACTTTAGACCACTGCCACTGATTTCTTCCCTAAGCTAAACTGTCTTGTCTATCTACTACTTTTTGAAGGCAGATCTTTCATTTGTTTTCATTAAGTAGAAAATGCTAACTCTTCCATTCTCTAGGGCTGTTCAATGCGAGAATCCAAGCACATTGGATTGCTGCTTCATGTCGTTGTCTAGATGCCCATGAATGGGCATCTCTACTTCTCCTAGCGACATTTCAGAGCATGTACCATCCTTTTGTGATTATTTGGACTTCTGTGATGGTTTGTTTTGAGAGAGGAGGGAGGAAAGAAGAAGGAAGAGATGGAAGAACAGAGGAAGGGAGGGACCAAGAAAAATTCTATAGGGCATACATGCACCCCGATTTCAGGTCCCTTTGCTAAAAGAACTTGGCGAGGAGTCCATGTGAATCAGCACTTCCTCACACTGTAGTGAAAAGCAAAGACTTAAGTTTGGGTTCCAGCCCATCACATGTACAGTACTTTCTTCATGCTCTGTTTCTAGTCTATTCAGGCCTAAGTGGCTTACATAGAGCAGCCCTCTAGTCCAGGTAGATCAGGAAATCAAGCAGGGATCATGTGGACTCCTCTATACACATATAGAAGGCTTTGAAGAAATGAACATAGCCAAGAAACCAGCATTGTTGCTGGGTTCACTGACCGTTAACCACACAATAATGTAAGAAGGGTAAATGGTGCCTAGACATGATATCTGTGTTTGTCTCTGCCCCCATAACCATACTTTCCATGGGCCTGAAGGGAGCATAGTAAGATGGTGGTGAGTTAATATGGTGGTATTTAATGGGAATAAATTAATGTAAGAATTTCCCACTGGTTTCTTTGCAGACCTCTTTATAGTGGAGCCCACTGATTGCCTACATCTACTCTACCCACAATGCTTGCCTCCTGCTCTCTGCCTCCCATTTTTTTTTTTACTTTCATTTCTTTCTTTTAAAAAAGATGAAAAAGATTTTGCAAAAGCACAATTTCCAAACAAGGTGGAACATAAACAAATAGGATTAAGGAGATCAAGTCTACATTATCTTTTAAGGCATCTTCAAAGGTACTAAAAGTAGAAAGTGACTGAGCAGAAAATGTCACTTTATAAAAATCATTCATGATTTGTTCTTCTTTTAATTACATTTTTATAAGGAAAACATACAGTAAAATGAAATCTCTCTGTGTGTAGGAATAGGATGTCACTGTAGGATTCTCCCATATTTCGTTGTATAGAGCAGAGATGATGACACATGTCCAGCTAGTTATTGTAGCTGGTGTAACTTGTAACAACACAACACTGAAAACCACCTTAGTGCATATGAGTAGGAGATTATTATTGTACTTCTGTATGACAGCAAACTGCAAAGTCATTTAAAAGGCTGAGTCATGTTTACATGAACCTGTAAGGACTGGTCTTTAAAATACTTCTGTTAAGGTATAGAAGAGTTTTAATTTATGCTGATGTTGCATGAAAAGTGACAATCTTAAAACTATTTAGACATTTCTGCAAATATTAGTAAGAAACAATGATTGTCCACTTGGGCCTAGAACTTAGTGTCAAAAAAACAAAACGGTAACAAATACTTACCACTATTGCAGCTCCAATAGGCTCTCTCTCTCCCTGCTTCTTGCCCTCCACCCCTCCTTTTCAATTTTTTACTTAAATATGCACTTCTTACTTTTTTAAACAAAAGATGAGTTATGTAAATAACTTGTCCAGAATAGACAATGGAAATGCAAATCCATATCCCCAAAGTGCTGAAAACATTTTCCTAAGAGCTTTTGATCTTTTTGTTACAATGTGTCCCAGAGAGCATTCCACTCTTGCCTTTTACTCCTTTCCTTTATAGATCAGGGATCCAGTAACACAGCACACACCATGCGCATAGACACGCTGAATTAGGGCTGAAGTTCAAAGATAATAGAAGCAATTCCTTAAAGAGTGTCTGAGTCTTTCTAACAAGAAAAAAAAAGGTTCATGAAAAGTAGACAATCTGATGGCAAGTCGGGGTGGGGGGGGCAGATTTTGGCAAATGGACAAATTTCAGCCCATCCTACCAACATCAGCCAACGTCAGCAGTCTAGGGAGAAATAGGAAACTAGGATCCAACTAACCAGATGCTTCCTTGGAAGACAGATGGGAGGAGAGCATCCTAAAATCAAGCAACGAACAACAGACCAGTTTCTGGATTCAGCATCACCAAGTGGTAAGCCACTCTCCAACTGACCAAAGCTAAGAATATGTATGCCATTCGGGCATACACAAACATTTGTCTTTCCTACACATTAGAATGCTGTAACTCAGCATTTTTCAGCATTATGTTCAAGGTTGTTTTAGAAGCAGCATACAGATTCAGAACTAAAGGACTGGTTAATGAATTACAGGATGGCTACACAATGAATCCATAAAAAGGGGACTTTTTATATACAGATGATAAGGAAATAGCTTTAAGATGTTCTGCGAGGAAGGCATAGAGCAGTTTATCTACTATCCTCTAATTGTGTAGAGCAGACAGATGGTAAGGGAGACCGAGAGAGAAGGTGCGCAAAAATGAACAATATCTCTGCAAGGTATATAGGACCATCAAAGACACTTATTTCCCTGAGGAGTCGTTATATCAGGAAATGAATACATTTTCCTTCCTAAATAAATAAATTGAGATTCTAAAAAGAAAATTTGGGGAAAAATTTTAAAACCTCCAAACAACTCAAAGCCAAGCCATGCTCTCTCTGGCAGTGCATCTACTAAAATTGCAATGCTACAGAGAGCAGCATGGCTCCTGTGCAAGGATGACACACAAATTGCAAAGTGCTCCACAGTTTTTGCATCGATTTCTGTATTTGTGTGAATCTGTAAACTTACGGTGAGTTTTGAATGAGGAAATGGAAAAAGAGAAGAAAAGGCAATGCTACCTCTGTGTTGTGAGAGACCTTAATAAAGTTTAGGTCAGCAGACTCTGCTTCCTCCCCTCCCCCAGACCTTCACAGTTACGGTCCAAGAATACCATCCCTTAATTGCTGTAGGATCCATATGGAGTGGGTCAACACCCTGACCCTCATCTCAAAAGCAGTTGGTCTGACTTGAACCACACAGAGCATGAATCCGGCAGAGTATCAGATAGAAAGGCTATGCAGGACACAGCAAGGAAGGGTGTTTGGTAAGGAAGCACACCTGCTGTGTGCAGCAGGTCAGGTTTCTGAGCTGGTGTGTTCCTGTGTCAGGGGTGTGAGGGAACAGGCAGGCCACTAACTCTCAAGAGTCTAAGGTGCTTCCCTTTGCACTAGTCTGGCCCTTCAACCTGAGAAGTACTAAAACTTCTAATCCGTAAAGGTTAAGAGCTGCCCAAAATTAACTGTGGGAAGGAGCTTGGGAAATCAGTGGCTCTTAATAGAATAATTGCAAAGATCAGCTCTAATTGTGGAAAGAAAGGAAAGAGCAAAGCCATTTCTTTACAACTTCACTTTGAAGACTACACACACTCAAACGCTACCTGTTTGAAAAGGTCAAGATTCTTCAACACTACCTTGTGCTTAGAATCTGCATTCCTAGACCACTCAGAGTCACTCAAGGGACATGGTGTTCTTAAACAGCCTTTCCAGGGAAGTGGTCAGTGAATAACCTTTGTTAGAAACAACAAGAAGCCCAACTTCACTTCCTAAGGATTTGGGGGTTCGGGTTTGGTGACAAAAGTAATTCTAAAGTTATCCATTCCTTGCTTTTATTCCTACTTTAAAAACAAACAGAGGAGAGTCTCTGTTCTAACCCCATAATTAGGAGAGGAAGCTAATGAACTCAGGACAATGGGGTTTCTTCGGATCCTTTAAGCTGACCATTGCTGCCTGACAGCAGTCTCTAATATGGCTGCAGACAGCACTCCTACCCAGATTCCCAGTTATTCCTGGGACACACACAATTGTACAGTTATAAATAAGCTGTTAACATAAGACATCATCCAAGCTCAACAAAAGTTGCTTTGCTTGTAAGCTACCTGTGGAAAAGTGTTTGCTAGGAACAACCTCTGCAACAGGAAAAATACGTGTGACTTTCCAAGATGACTTCCTTTGAGGGGTAGGTGGAGCTTCTCTGTGCAGAGTACTTGCCCAGCATGTGCAAGCCCCAGGATTTTATCCTCAGGGCCGAAAAGAAGAATTTCCAATGGGCTCATAATTATTTTAAAGAGGGCATTCAAATCCTAAATTACCAAAGACACAGTTTATGAAGTGGTGTGAATGTGGACAACAAATCAATGACCCGTGCAAGGATCAAAAAATTAATAAATCATCTTTTTACAAGACTCCATTTCTGAGCAAAGATACAAGAAAGCAAAAGTAAAATGTAAGTACCTCGTTAACTGTAATGAAGCTCTGTGCCTTGGTCAAACAGCCTCTACTTGAAATGCAGAAGCAATCCAGTACTGTCCTGACCAATCCTCCCTATGTCCACAGCCACCAGCAAATAACATACACTGTCCAGCTCCAATAATCAGATAGCCACAAAACAGTTTCAGAAGAAATTGCTATTCCACAGTCCCTTTTTTACTAACCTGAAGTTTAGAGTTGATAAGTCTGAAATCTTCAGGTGGGCTGTGCCCGGCTGCAGCCTTAACTAACTTAAGAGACATGACAGGAAGAATGAGATCAGAGCTAACAGAGCAGTCTGTCTGTGGGTGTAAGTGCTCACTTTCCCGACTCTCCGGAGGAAACATAACAGACATCTGCATTTGCCCTGCTCTTAAGGATAAGGATACCGTCTTAATTCATATCATTTCCTTCAGTTCCCTGACAGCCAAAGAACTCTAAGCTGAAGCCTGGATTGAGCTGTACTTTGAATTTCCCTTTGCATCTCTGGAAAGTGCTTTCAACAAAAATACTATTGTCATTAAGTCGTATGTCCAATCTGGTCTCCATGACAAAGGAGTAAATTGTAGAGCTTAGTGCCAGACACTCTGTTCTTTCTCATCAGACAAGTTCTCCAGTTAACTTTGCAGGAAGCCAGGTGGCTAAGCAGCTTCAAAAAGTTGGGGGAGCTCAATGCAAACCCAAGTTATCTACCCCTTTTACTTGTTTGTGAAATGAAACATAGAGACCGGAGAAATCTCAACTTGGCAGGGGGAGAGAGAAAATTTACATAATCCTTATGAAATTTGTCATTGAGATGAGGGTGAAGCCAAAGAACAGAAAATTACAAGAAACAAATACGTTGTGACAATACTTGAGAGACTAACATATTGTGTGCTGCAAATATGTAGCCACCAATAGGTGAACATAAGAAAATTCCTTCTGAAAATAAAGAACCCCGTTAATATGCAATAATTTAAAACCCAAGACAATTAGGAAATCAAATGTGGAATTTTCAATATGCAAGAGATCTATTTATGAGCCAAGAACACACACACAAAAAAAAAAGAGTCAAAGAATAGAAAGACACCAAAGGTCTGACCCAAAAAAGAACTATGAAAACACAGCCTGCCTATTTCTGGAAACTGTCGTGTCTTTCCAGCATGGCAGCAATGCTGGGATTGGCCTCTGGGTTCACAGGCAGGAAATATGAGGACAGACCCATGCCCCCTGGGCTACTCCTCTACTCTGCCCTTCCTTAGTCCTGGAGGAAAACATTGAAGTCCCTGAGTTAAATGTGGCTTTATAACTAACGGTGGCAAGCCAGGCGGGAGATCAGACAGTTCCATGACTCTGCCATGTCAGTCTCTCTAAACAAGTCCAGGAAAAGGAGAGCAAGTAGGGGTGAGATGGAGAAGGTTTTGTGTAGATGTCTGACTCAGGTGACTGTTGGGTCAAAACATGTCACGAATGTTCAACCCAGTGGAGTAGATACCCACTGTAGGGTCTCGGCACAAAGGCCATAAAATCCAATACAACATAATGTGGGCACTGCTTTCCCCAGGAATACAAACCCTTAGAGACAAACTGAAGGGCTCTATGTAATAGGTGGTCACAGCTAGCATTTGCTTTGCTGTGCTGTTTTGAAGGAAAATCCCAGAGGGAGTCATTCAAAGGAGAACCATGGCACCTTTGATATGGAAGTGGCATGGAAAAGAACACTCAGACTGCTGAAGGGCCAGAGAGCCAAAAGTATTGTTCACACTGTATTTTTTAGAACCAGGTTAGAAATCACATAGGTAGCCTAATACCCAATTTAACTCAAGGCTTTTTCCTTGAATTGGATGCAAAACTTCCAGTTTCATAAAGGCATTCACAACAGTCGGGAGTGTTTGGATGCTCCCTTCATCCCGCAAGCCACCTTTGGTGCTGTTCCGCTCCTTTGAGCTGACCTCTTGCCCTCACATTCCTCTACCTTAGATCAAAACAAAGGCAGGCAGACCCTGAGCCCATAAGGAGATGTTTGGACCATCTAAGATTCTGCAAAAGGCAAACAGACTAAAGAATGCTTCTACCCCTTAGTTCACCTTCACAGTCTCACCATCTTCAGTGGCTAAGGCCCCTTTCGATGTAAAGGAACTTCATTTCATTAAAACAGGGAACCTTGGCACCGTTATTTTTAGTCTGGCCAGTAGTGATACAAAGATGGTATTTTTCCAGATTCGATAGCATGGATTAACTCTTCCTGCACTCTGCAGGGCTGTAGTCATCAGGAACATTGACATAACCAGGTACAACTGTAGCCTTTGCTAAGGCCAGGAGGAATTTCAGTGCTTTGCAAATGCTAGCTCATTTCAGTGTTGTGTGCCGGTAAGGGGTGTAATATCTCAGACTGATTTTAGAGATGAAGAAAATGGAGGAATCACAGGAACGATGAATTATTCAACCAAGGTCACACAGCCGAGAAGGTCAAACTGGAATTTCAAACCAGGCTGTCTAGAACCAACGTCCATGTTGCCCTTAGTTACACTGGCTGCTGAACCGTAGCACATCTCAGATGAACTGTGGTGTTCGAAAGACAGTCTTAACCACACCTTGTAACATGACCATTTGAATCTCTGCTTTCTACATTGCACTTTCCTCACGTTCTCTGGGATAACAAAGGAGAAAAGAGAAATACTGCATGCCCCCACTTCGCATTCTTTAGAAACACAAGGAAGGTTTGAAAATGACAGTGTCTCCAATCTGGTAAGAAATGCACAGGAGAAAGAAAAAGTCTTGGAAAGCTCTTGATGGTTACATTTCATAACACCACTGTAACTTTAAAAGGCCTCTGTACTTGTCCAGATTTAGATTTGCCAAGCTAGTGCATACTTAAGAAATTTTAATTACTTGGTACAGAAAAATAGAACAGTTCCTAGTGTTGCTGGGGGAATTCCACAGCAGGACCTCTTGAGAGAGCTCAGGAGTTTTCACCCTACAATTCTTTCAACACACCTGGCATCGAACCTACATTCTCCTAATCCCTGCCTCCAGGGCAGGTGTGAAGGTGTGCCCCACTGCTGCACAAGGCGTTCTGCCAGGGCATGGCTCCTTAACCTGGGTGGGGCTGGGCAACTGCATGGACCTCCAGGCCCTTCACTGTTCAATTTGCCAGTTTCCTGAAAGTTCCACCAGAGAAGAAGGCAAGTGAGCTCCTTCCGACAAAGAGGCTGACCCTGCTCTCATCTGGGATGGATTTGTTTAGTGAAACTACTGGGCCAAGAGAGACGATCGATCCTGTCATCAACCTTTATACCCGACAGCCTCTGACTGCCAGGATTCCTAACACTGTCATGTATTCGGCAGAAGGCTACATCCTACCAAGGACCAGTCCTGTCCTGGACCAACTTCCTCGGAAAGAAGACTGACCAGTGAAAGCAGGACTATGGTGCCTGGTCCTTTCATGTACTAGAAACCAGCAACTCCATCTCTCTTTAGCAGGAGG